ACATCTTTGGCTGGCCATTCAAACCTTTTCTTTCTTGGTTGGTTAAAAAAACAAATTTAACCAGAGCCCCTAACTACACCAGTAATATTTCATTAAAAGAATCAATAGTATTGTTGTACAATTGATTGTACTAAGTTTTGATTTGTTTTACCATCTCTCAGCCCAATCTTTTCCATAAGACTACTTGAAAGTGTCGTTACAACATATTCATTCTGATATTCTGCTGTTCTCTGAAAGCTCAATATTGCAAATAGTAATTATATTAAAGCATATTTGTATTTTTTTCAGGAAGGAAGAATTTTTGGACTTTATTCATGTAGTCTGAGTTTAAACATGACTACAGAAAATATATACTATACCCTTGGAAAAGAATATTCCATCTGGTCAACTTACATTTTGGAAGAATGTGCAGGCTTTATGGTATATCCCATAACAGTTTTAGTGATAGTGATACTGTTATATTATCCACTTATTTTTGCATTTTCTTGGTTCTATGCCAGTAGTCTAATACTTTATGTGTGGAAAAAAATTGGTAATTTGCCAGAAGATACAAGTAGCAAACAATGGGATGTGCCAAGGAAAATTTACTCACTGATATCAGATTTGTTTGGAAAGATACTACACAGTAAGTAAGATGTTCTTCATTAATTCTTTAAGGCAGAGATAAGGAATTTATTTTCACTCATAGACATCAATTCTTGGGGCCAATCCTTATCTGCAGTCATTTGTATCTTGGAACCTCATCAGAATATAGTAGAAAATAAAGGGAAAACTGAGGCTGCGTACTGCCAATTCATATATATAATTTGCTTTTTTAAAAATGCTTCTGCAATTTGTCCAGAAACTCCCTTAATCTCTGAGGCTGCAGAACTGAATGAAGGAGCTGTCTTAACCTCAATTTAAGAGAATAATTGCAGATATTACACACAATATCAAGTTTGTTTATGGTCAATCACTTCACACACTCACAGCCCAGGTCAATAGCCATACTTAAATCATTTTTAACCAAACACTGGGTTACAGCTGGTTCTTTGGAATTTGCAGAGAATTTAAAGAATTTAAAGTAAGAGGAAAACTTTACTGGTTTTGTAATGTACATTTTCACTTTCTCACATGCATGCAGATACTTATCCACATTTGTCACATCCTTCTCAGCTAGGCTGCCAGGTATTAGTCAGAGGGATGGCAGCCACCAATTATAGATCCAAACTTAATTCAAGAATGCATAGGCCTTAGGACCCCTTTCACTCCCCAAAGTGTTTGGCTTGTTGATTTTCAAGACTAGCAGCTATTTTTGTCCTGTTGATTTTCAAATCTGATAGCTATTGCTGGGATTTGGGAAAGGTTTTCCATGTGCTCAGCCCAACTTCTTTTGTCTGATTCTGGTGACATTTTTGTATTTGTTTCTTTAAAAACTTAGTTCCTTCTTACCTACTTCCTGGTGGTTTTCAAAAATAAACAGGTAAATCATTTGACTGAAATGTTTCATACTTTGGCCAGGGGGTTGGAGTAGAAAAGGGATTGGAGTAGAAGAGCTTCGAGGTCTCTTCTAGCACTATGATTCTATGATTCTATAATCTAGAAGACATGATTCCTGGCTTTTTGTCCACACTGCATGTGCCTCTTTCATCTTTAGTCTCATACATGCATAATTTTAAAATAATAATAATAACAAGATAAACCTTATGTATACCGTAAGGTAAAAGATAAAGGTTCTCCTCTCACATACGTGCTAGTCGTTTCCAGCTCTAGGGAGGTGGTGCTTATCTCTGTTACAAAGCCAAAGAGCCAGCGCTGTCCAAAGACATCTCTGTGGTCATGTGGCTGGCAAGACTAAATTCCGAAGGCACATGAAACGCTGTTTTTTTTTTTTTAAGAATTTAGAAATTTTCAATAAACAAACATACACAAACAAAACACAAAACATAGAAACATAAAACTTCTTTTTGGAAAGTGGCTTAGTCCCGGGTTACATCTTTTGGTACAGACATAAATCAAGTTCATGCTCACTTTATATACCATTTCTTACCTTATTTACAATTCTATATTTTCTATATGGCTTCTCCCCTCTTTTCACCCTCTTAATTCTATTTTATTTATTTCATCTCAATTTAGATCATTATGCTTGTATCTTTTGTCCGTTCTGTTTCAATTATCTATTTTTCTTTTCTCATTAACACAATATTTCTCCTGTAATCACTGATTGAAGTATGATGCCTTTATATCTTTCCCCTATATTTAACACTTAAAATAATGTAAAATTTTCATTCTGATTCTGCTTAGCACATTCTAAGCTACATACTACATTTTAAAATAGAAAAATAATAAGTTTATAATATAATTAAAACAATAATCTATAACAGATTAAACTCTATCATTAAATCTTGAGCATTTTACACATTCCCTTTAATATTTTATTAAATCATATAACATTCCAGTTTTCTAACATTGTTTCAAATATAAATACAACTATACTGTCTTATGTACTTTTGCAGAATCTCTTTTTTAATTATATTTTTACCCATTATCTCTGAAAAAATCCTGTTTCTTTACACCTTGTTTCAAACCTTTATAACTTCTCTTCCCTTTTCCCCTATCTCTCTTCTCAGATCTAGCCTTTTTACCCCCCCCCGTCTCTTGATCTCCACCCTCTTAGTCTCCACTCTCTTCCGTATTTCTCTTTTCTGTTGCTTCCTGACATTGTATCGATTTTTCACCTTATTTTTCCCTTTTTTGGTTGTTTTTTAAATCTTAAATTCTCCATTCTCTTTCCCCTCTTTCCCCTTTCTTCCCCAGCTTGTTTGTTCATTAAAGATGGCTTCTTCTTCATCCCAACCTTCTTGTTCTTGTAATTCCTGAGAGGTAGAAATCGCCATTTCTAGAAAATGAAAAACAGTTCCAGAAGAGCCCTTCCCTTCTTGTTCCTCTTCTTTTAGCTTTTTAAATTCCATTTTAAATTCTTCAACAGATAATGCCATTGTGAAAAAAAATTTAAACAACCCAAAAGTTTTTAGTCTTTCAAATAATTTCCAAAAGTCCCAAAGTCACCAAGCAATCCAAATAGGCACAAGCTGTTTCATTTAGCACTTTCTTCTTTTTAAACTTTCTCTTCCTGGGGTACAGTTCAATTGTAAAGTTCCAAAGTATATGTTTTAGAAGTCTTATTACAATTCAACTCTGATCTTATAAGCTCCAAGCAGCCTCCTCCAGCAAAGTCTTAATATTAATTCTGTACCTCTCCCTTCCCACTTATAGCAAAAGTTTTTTTTTTAATTCCAATGTTCAGAACTCTTTAATGACCCCTTGACTTTAATTTTCAAATTTAATTACCTTGATGCCAAAATGGGTTTTTCTGATTTCCATCTGCCATTTCCATAGGGAAGGAGAGTGAAAAGAAAAAAAAAAAACTTTCCCTTTTAACTTTCTTCCACCGCTTTTTACGATCTTCTTAGGGAACAATGTATCTTTGATGAAATCAATGTATCTTTGATGAAATCAGGGTATTTAGATGTTATTTGTTATCCTGGTTCAGCCAAAAACTTTCACTTTCCCAGCTTCCTCCTGCACATTCTTGTCCGGATGAAAGGTTCTTTGTGGTGGCCATTGCTGACCGCCACTCCACCACTTTTGGAAAAGGGAGTTAAGCCAGCTGAGGAGGGAGGTTGCGATACCCCCAGACCCCTGCTGGATCTCCCCTATCTTCAGTCACCTCTACGGGGTGACCATTAACCCCCAAATCTGACTGGATCGGGGGCACTCCAGCGGCGAGCGCAGCAGGAACCGTACACGATCGCGGATTCCTGCCATCGCTGAAGCCTTGCAAACCGGAACTCCATGAAACGCTGTTACTTTCCCACCAAAGTGGTCCTTATTATTCTTGCATTTTTACATGCTTTTGAACTGCTAGCTTGGCAGAAGCTGGGATAAGTAACAGGAGCTCACTCCATTATGCAGTGCTAGAGATTCGAACCACCAAACTTCTGATCTTTCTGATCGACAAGCTCAGTGTCTTAGCCACTGAGCTACCTAACCATAAAATACCAGAAATATTTAGGTGTATACATCTTCATATCATTATATTCCTAAAAATTCAGAATTAGAAAAATAAAAAACAATATATCATCATCTTAGGAAAAGTAAAAAAAAATCCAAGAAGAAACTATTTAGCACATTGGAAGAACATGACCTCACTTCTAGCAAAAACACTAGCGAATGTTCTCCCTAGTGGGGCAGGGAACAGGGCCTGGGTCTCCCATGTATAGGGGAAGGCATGGCCTCTCCTCACTGGTGTAGCAACCCCAAAAAGACCTGGCCTTCTCTCCAGTGCTCTGTTTAATGACTGTAACTTGGAAAGTAGTCATTGAATGAAGCGGTCATATGGTTTCTCCTATTATAGTCACAAGAAGATGACTACCTGTACTATCTTTTGTTCTAAGGTTTCAGTTGCTTAGAAGCACCTTGGCTTTACATTTTATGCTAAGACATAATTTGTCCTGGTTTTGGCCTGGCACAAAATAGACATCCAACTTAGTATTCTGTGGTTCTTGTCTTCTGGACAATTAAAATAATTGGAATTTTATTTCATAGGCAAAGCCCAATAACTAGAAGTCTGACAGTAACAGATTAGATCAGCAATATTTCTGCTAATCCTTGCATCTGCCATGTACAGTTTTTCCTGTGCCTTAATATCCTAATATCCTAACCCTTAATATTAAACTCAAATGTGCTGTTTTAATTTAAACTTTCCCCCCCAAAATTGTACTTAGTCAGTTAAACATTACCATTAACTATACCTTTGGATTAAAGCTGGAAGAAGCTACAGTATCTGAGGCCCATACATTCTATATGTTTGTAAGAATTTGGGAAAGTTCAACAGAACATCAAAACTGTCTTTTTAAAAATGAGGTTTTAGAATGGATAAAATCTCTGAACACATAGATACTTGTGGGAAAGGTTTGATATCACTAAGTAACATGAATCTAAGTAACTTATAGGAAACTAGACTGAAGGTGCGGGATCACAAAAGCAGAAACACTGATTTCTCAGAAGGTTCCTTTTTTTTTTCATTTTCTTTTATTTTGATGATCAATGTGATAGTTCCAAAAAGCACATTTGATTTGAACTTTTTAGTTTGATAAAAAAAAATGCCATTTTTCTGTGATCTTCTATAGGAAACTCTTGTGGAGAAAAAACTGAAGCCATTTCAATGTTCTCTCATTAACAGGTTATGAGATTTCTGGATTAGAAAATCTACCCAAAGGACCAGCGATTCTTGTCTATTATCATGGAGGCCTTCCAGTTGACTATCACTGTTTTGTAACAAGATTGTATAGACTCACTGGGAAATACTGCTATTCTGTGATAGATAATTTTTTCTCATTTTTACCAGGTAAAAAAATTATTATGTTTAGGGTTTTTGGTGGGGAAGGGTTAATAAAATTGATTCACTAACTTGTGAAGTCCAATGTTTCTTCTTCAAAGTCTTGTTTTGAGTTATGTCATAATGGAAATACATGTATTCTGTTTTCTTTTATGCAAGAACAGAATTATTTCTTAGGTCTGCTTTTGCAGGACTAAAACAATTCATTTCTTTTCATCACTGTGATAATTCTACAAGAGAAAGGTGTATAAACATTCTGAAACAAGGGCACTTACTTGGAATTGCACCAGGAGGAGTACGAGAGCAAAACTATGGAAATAACCTGTATAAAATAATATGGAGAAAACGTAAAGGATTTGCACATATAGCTATAGATGCCAAAGTGGTAAGCCATTTGTCTTCATTTCTTTTTTCTTTTTAATTTTAAAATAAACTTTATTCAAGATAGATAGATAGATAGATAGATAGATAGATAGATAGATAGATAGA